GCGCGAGTTTCAGTAAAAGTTGCTCTACTTTTTTAAAGTTTTTTCAGTTGTACTGTACCTCGCAGTAGTCTGTGGTCGCTTGAAAATGTATTATTACTTAAAATTTCTATGTTTGTGAAAAGTTTTGGAGAGTTGCTCAAAATATAATCGATTAAACAAATATTTTAATTTTGTTTATTTATTATTGTGCCTAATGCATTGTTTTAGTGGCCTAAAACCATCTTCGCATTATTACCTTTCTAAAGAAACCGGTTTGGGGCACATCTGTTGGATGGTTTCAAAGTCTATAACGGACATATGTACTATTTATTTTTTAATTTTAAATGTATAGATAAAAAAGACCAATAAAACTGGAGCCATTCCACTGCGTGTTTCCAGTGAGAAGTACACTCTTATACTGAATAGTGGGCATGTGTGTAGAGACAGTTCTGATATAGCCCCAATCCCTGTACACCCTAGATTTCCCCTGCAGCAGGAAAGTGAGTAGCCTTTAGTTAACATGAGAATACAATAAAATGTAAACACTGGGTTCCAACTCCTCAAACAATGCTGGAGTGGAACTGGTCTAATAAATACTAACGGAGGATCTGCCAATAGTAAATAAATATAGTGTTTGACAGGCATAAACTCTGTCACTATACTTCAGATACCAACTCTTTAACCTTATGCTGCAGTTTTACTGCCCACCTAAACCGTGTAGATTAAGGATCTGTCAATTATGAATAGATATTGTATTAACATGCTACCAAGGTACTGCCTACACAAGTATCACCTCAGAGAAATTTCTTAGATATGTTTTAAGGTTATTTAGGCCACCGTTTGTGCAGCTCTGCTATTAGTTGTGAGTTCTTAAAATTCGTCTTTTATTTAAACTTGTATTCATTTCAATTTCAGGACAATTGACCCTTCCAAAGAACACATTTAGTGAAAGAAAACCTATGAATCTGTGCATCTAGATTTATGATGATATAATTCTAAATACATCAACAGGTAAAATCCACATTAATTTAATAATATAGAAGCTTAACATATTTTGACGAAATTTGGTACAGAGCTAGCTTGCACCCAGGATATAGAGGCTACTTTTTATTCTGGAAATGATTTAATTTAAAGCCTGGGGTAGCCTCTAAACTCGAAATACTAACTGAAATCCATTATTAAGATAAATGCCCGCTCTGCCTTATGAATAAGGCATTAAAATTATTATAACATTTGACCTTTTTTTCTCTTCATCTCTTCGACTCCTTCATGTATGAAAATGAGCATGCAAAATGAGCATAGAAGAGATGCATTAATCCATTCGAGGTGGTGGACGCACAACGGCGTCATATAAATTGTCATTCTTAGGTGGATGACTCCGATCGGCATAAATTATATTTGGCCATAACTTCGCCAATTTCTATTCTAAAGGGATATACTTTTTATATGCGCCTTTTTTACATACATACACCATCATTGTAGTCGCCGTCTCTGTAAATAATAATTTTAGAAATATAATAAAAATGTTCTCAGGTGTGGATAACGCCGAACGGTGGTGCCGGCGGTGCGAGGGCGGGGTGGGCGGTCCGACACACGGTGGATGAGGTGAGGTCTACTGAACACAAAAATTATTTATGTGATAATTTGAATGTCATAATGTTAGTTCTTTTCTACACCACGCTAATATAAGCTACTCGAAATACTAATCCTGCGCAGACGAAGTCGCGGGCACCAGCTGGTATATATAATATATTGTTGTTTAATGGATTGTCACAATACATATTAAATTTTTGCTATTTATTAGTATAAATTTTTTTTAACCTTATTTTTAAATTGTATTTTTGTTTTATGCATAAGGCATCTGTCTAGTGAATTATTATAAATTTTTGATATTAAATTTTCGAACATTCATTTGCGATAATAATTAGCACATTTTCATCATCATTGTAAATTACAATGTTGTTGTAATGTTATAGTATATTACAATACCTATCACATGTGATTAATGATATTTTAAAAACGTGTATGCCATTACTGGTTGTGAGTTCGTTTGTGTGTTATTTTTTGGTACAATTTTTCTGAAAAACTACTTAGCTGATTTTGATGCGTTTTTGCATTATATATGTACATATTATGTCTGGGGAGATTCTGAGATATTATGTTCTATAGTTGTAGACCACAAGGAGATTTAAGGTGGCTACTCACTTGCCTGCCGTAGGGGCAATCTAGGATATAGGAGTGGGGATGACACTTAATTGCCCTAATGTGATTGTGTATGCAAGCAGGGGTAATTTTCTAAGTCGGCTCTCGCGGCAGAGGCGCAAGACCTTCCTTGCTCCCTAGATCGTAGCTGTCGCTGTCGCATGTGTAGCGCAATTGGGGCAATTTCAACCGTTCTTGGTCGACTTTCGAACGAAGCACACATGCAAGTCACAATGGATACCAATTAATAATGTGAAATTTGGACACGGGTGACAGAAGTGTATTAAGAGGGACTTCTTCACCCAGTATTTCCTTTCACTACAGTATTTGTCTTTTTTGTGGTAGCACCGCAGAAAGAACTTTATTTGAATGTGGTAACGTTTTTTAACGTATTAACGTTTCTTAATGTGGTAACGTTTTTGAATGTGGTAACATACGTTAAAAGTGGTAGTCACGCTGCAGCTTAAAATACTATATTTTGTTATTAATTATTACTTAGTAGTTTCATAGTCAGGGGGTTTTCATGCTGGTCTACCTTTCCGGTGATCCTGTTATGGAATACGGGTACGCGACCCCGGCTCCCCGAGCTACTGTTATTCTCATACCTTTCCTGCCGAGATAACAGTATCCTTGCACCTGCGCTCCTACCCCCAACCTTCTTTTTCCTTTTCCCAAAATGGTAGCTTCCTCTACCAACAATAGCATACCCAAAGAGGGTTGGTGTCAGGCAGGCGGCCGACTGTAAAACTTTTGCCAAATCCCATGCAGTAAACCTATGAATATTACGAGTTGTGGGATATATGACAGGGCTAGGGCGTACCCCGCAGGCGACGCGCAGGGGCAGCACCCGGCTCCTGTGGGAAGTGGGCAAGGGTTGTCGCACCTTACGGAGCGGGTGCGACGTAAGAGGCGAGCCCGGAGAGAGAAGAATGTCAGAGTGAGGTTTGCAAGCTGGAATGTAGGTACAATGACTGGAAGAGGAAGAGAGTTAGCAGATGTTTTGAAACGACGAAGAGTGAATGTTGCCTGTTTGCAGGAAACAAAATGGAAGGGCAATAAAGCAAGAGAGATTGGGGAAGGATACAAGTTTTATTATTGTGGAAGTGATGGGAAGCGAAATGGAGTAGGAGTTGTGTTAGATAGTGGAATGAAAGAACGAGTGACAGATGTGAAAAGAGTAAATGACAGAATGATAGTTATTAAATTAATGATTGAAAACAAAGTAGTGAATGTTGTAAGTGTGTATGCTCCGCAAACAGGCTGTGAAGAGAGTGTGAAAGAGAAGTTTTGGGAGGAATTTGATTGTATGATGATGGGAATACCTGAGAGTGAGGATGTTTATATGGGAGGAGATTTTAATGGACATGTAGGGAGAGTGAATGACGGGTATGAAAGAGTACACGGTGGATGGGGGGTACGGAGTGCGGAACCGTGAGGGGGAAGTTCTTCTGCAAGCAGCATGTGCTTTCGACCTGGCTGTAGTAAACACGTGGTTCCAAAAACGAGATCAGCATCTTGTTACTTATAAAAGTGGCCACCACGCGACACAGATCGACTATCTTCTGATAAGACGGAACCAAATCAAGAGTGTAAAAAACTGCAAAGTGCTTCCAGGTGAAGACTTAGTATCCCAGCACCGAATTCTGCTGGCTGACATCTGCTTAACTGTTCGCCTCGACAAACATAAGGATCGTCCCCCACCCAAAATAAAGTGGCATTTGTTGCATAAGGAGGAGTATGCAAGTGAATTTAGAGAGCTAGTTGTAAACAAGATGATAGAGATGGGTGATATGGAAGGAATGAGTGTGAATGAGTGCTGGAAGGAAATGGCTGATTGTATCCGAAGTGTGGCAAGGAAGGTGTTAGGAGAAACAAAAGGGAAGCGTATGATAGATAAGGATGGGTGGTGGTGGAGTGAAAGTATTAGAGAAGTTTTGAGAGAAAAGAAAAATGCCTTTAAAGAATGGCAGAGCGTAGAAGACCAGAATGATTCCATAAAAGAAAGTAAGAGAGGGGCGTATAAAGAATGTAAGAAGAGAGCAAAGAAGGAAGTTGCTATTTGTGGGGCAGAGGCGCAAGATAAATTATATCGGTCCCTTGAAAGCCCCGAAGGTCAAAAACGACTTTTTCAAATTGCAAAAGCGAGAGAAAGGAATGGAAGAGATGTTTCACATGTAAAATGTATAAAAGATGATTCTGGAAGGATTTTGACTGACGATGAAAGTATAAAGAAGCGATGGAAGGAGTATTTTGAGAAATTGATGAATGAGGAGAATGAATGGAATGGTATGCTTGAAAACCCACCAGTGAATATGGGCTTAGTGAGAGAAATTAGTGTGGAAGAAGTAAAAATGGCTGTTAGGAATATGAAGAATGGGAAGGCGGTCGGCCCAGATGGAATACCAGTAGAAGTGTGGAAGTTGCTGAGTGCAGATGGATGGAAGTGGTTGAGTTTATTTTTCGGTAAATTGTTGCAGGAAGAACAAATACCTGAGGAATGGTGCAGTAGTATACTGGTCCCCATTTTTAAAAACAAAGGAGATGTTCAAAACTGCAGCAGTTACCGGGGAATAAAACTCATGTCACATACGATGAAAGTCTGGGAAAGAATAATAGAGAAAAGAATGAGAGAAGAGTGTGAGATAACACAAAACCAGTTCGGATTCATGCCCGGTCGAGGTACGACAGATGCCATTTTCGCATTACGCCAATTGTGCGAAAAGTACAAGCGCGTGCATAAAAATCTGCACATGGTTTTTGTCGACCTTGAAAAGGCGTACGATCGGGTTCCCCGTGAGGTTTTGTGGTGGGCGTTAAAGATGAAAGGTATGCCTGGGAAGTATGTGAGGTTAGTCCGTGCTATGTACAGAGCATCCCGTACATGTGTACGATCTGCCGCGGGAACTACGGGCAGTATCGATGTGGCGGTAGGGCTGCACCAAGGGTCGACATTGAGCCCTTACCTCTTCCTACTGATTATGGACGCTTTGACGTCGGACCTGCAGGATGAGGCACCCTGGTGCATGCTCTTTGCCGATGACATCGTGCTTGTCGGGGAAGAAGGCATCGAAGTACAGAGCAGACTGACGGGGTGGCAACAGAGGCTGGAAAGTGTTGGCTTGAAGATCAGCAGATCCAAAACCGAATATCTGTGCTGTGATTTCGGCGGTCTTTCCAGTCCTGTACCCATGTCGTTGGATGGCGCTATACTGCCTACCTGCTCAGAATTCAAGTACCTCGGTTCCCTCATTCAAGGCGACGGCGGAATAGATAGAGCTGTGCAGCATAGGATTAACGCAGGGTGGGTGAAATGGCGACAGGTCACAGCCACAACGTGCGATCCCCGAATGCCAATAAGGCTGAAGGGGAAAATTTACAAATCGATCATCCGACCTGTCGTCATGTATGGAAGTGAATGCTGGGCCGTCAAGAAGAAGGATGAAAATAGACTGCATGCGAATGAAATGAGAATGTTACGATGGATGTGTGGTGTGACAAGGATGGATAAGATAAGGAATGAGTATATAAGAGGAAGCCTGAAAGTAGCGCCAGTGGTAGAAAAGGTGAGAGGAAGCAGATTGGCATGGTTTGGGCATGTGATGCGGAGGGATGAAAGTCATGTCACAAAACGAGTGTTGAATATGAATGTGGAGGGACACACGGGCAGAGGAAGGCCGAATAAAAGATGGATCGATTGTGTGAAGAGTGATATGAGAATGAAAGGAGTAAGTATGGAAATGACGGCTGATAGAGAGGAATGGAACAAGAAGATTTACTGCGCCGACCCCAGATAATGGGAAATGGTTTAGAGAATGATGATGATATTACTTAGTAGTTTCTATGTAAATATAGGTGTCTATGGACCACAGTATGCACTTACCATCAGGTGGACTGTGTGTTCGTTCGTCACCCTTATTCTAAGCTAGTGGATACCCGGCGTGTGCTACTACGTTAAATTAAGAAATATATAATAAAACTGAAGCCATTCTCAACGCGTGTTTCCAGTGAGACGTACATTCTCATACTGAACAGCAGGCATGTGTGTAGAGACAGTTCTGATATAGCCCCGATTGCTGTACACCCTATATTGCCCCTGCGGCAGGAAAGTGAGTAGCCGCCTTTAGTTACCATGAAAATACAGTAAAATGTAAACTCTGGGTTCCAACTCCTCAACCAATGCTGCAGTGGAACTGGTCTAATAAATACTGACGGAGGATCTGCCAATTGTAAATATAGTGTTTGACAGGCATAAACTCTGTCACTATACTTCAGATACCAACTCTTTAACCTTATGCTGCAGTGTTACTGCCCACCTAAACCATGTAGATTTAGAATCTGTCAATTGTGAATAGATATTGTATAAACATGCTACCAAGGTACTGCCTACACAAGTAACACCTCAGAGAAATTTCTTAGATATGTTTTAAGGTTATTTAGGCCACCGGGTAGCTCTGCTATTAATCTTGGGTTCTTAAAATTTGTCTTTTATTTAAACTTGTATTCATTTCAATTTCAGGATCATTGACCCTTTCAAAGAACACATTTAGTGAAAGAAAACCTACGAATCACATCCAGATTTATGATGATAATATTCTAAATCCATCGACATCAACAGGTAAAATCCACATCAATTTAATAATATTATCAAAAAGCTTAACATATTTTGACGAAATTTGGTACAGAGCTAGCTTGCACCCAGGATATATAGGCTACTACTACTCGGTGACGATGGTCGAGCCTCACCTTCAAGAGACTCATTATTTATTAATAAGTGAAACCAATTAAAAATATTTTTAACTTGAAAATATTAGAAATAAGGTTTGCAATCCCTGGTCATATTTCAATAATACTGAAAATTCTGTCTAAATAAGCAAGAAATCATTTTCATGTACGGAAAACGCCGATAGGTGTAAAAGCGTTTAAATACGAGATGCATCCGACACCTATCAGCGTCAATCCTTTATACCGCTCGCCCCTACGTAATAAGGAAGATATTTTGAGCCGCCTTGAATGGGTTAAAAAACGAAAATATTGGTTGGTGCTTGCTATTTATTTATTTTAAGTGTAGTCTACTACTTGTTAGTACATTTAGAGCATGTAGCACATTTTTTTTAGTATGACATTATATAATAGAAATCACTGTTATTTTATTATTTTTATACACGGTTATTCAACATTTGTACTGAAGCCAAGTGAACATTATATTCTAACAATTAGAATTTACCAAAGCAGACATGGATACTTTATTTTGCCCATACCAAAATACATTACTAAATCTTAATAAGCTAGAGTGCCTTCTCAACAATTGCATTAGATATATTTTCAGTTTTTGTAAGTATGATCATATTTATCACTCCGCCTTAAATGGCTCACTATAAAACAAACGCGTGACTCTAGAATTTGGCTTGTTCTCTTTTTTATCTAAAATGATACATCCACTCCTTCTTATCTCAAGGACAAATTTTAATAACTTTCCTAAATGCATGATAGAACTCCAGATGGTAAGTTTTTTTTTTAATAGAAGAGGGGGCAAACGAGCATGCGGCTCACTTGATGTTAAGTGACTACCACCGCCCATGATCAACCGCAACACCATTGGAATTGCAGGTGCGTTGCCGGCCCTTTAGAAAGGAGTAAGCTCTTTTCTTGAAAGGTGGTCCGGAAAAATCGCCGGTGGTAAACTATTCCACAGAGAGGTTGTACGCGGAAGTAAACTCCTTTTGAAATGTACAGTGGTGGACCGCCAAGCATCCAGATGGTGTGGATGGTATCGGGACATTTGCCGCGTAGTGCTTCACGAAATTTGGCGGCTGGAATTAATCCGAACAATTCCTCAGAGCACTCCCCATGGTATATGCGAAAGAAAATGCAAAGAGATGCAACATCTCTTCGCAGCGCCAGTGAATCGACCCGATCGGAAAGCACTCGGTCGTCGACGATTCGAGCCGCTCTGCGCTGGATGCGGTCAAGTTGAAGGAGCTGGTACTGGGGAGCTCCAGCCCAGAGATGGGAACAGTATTCCATGTGCGGCCGAACCTGCGCCTTGTAAATTTGCAGGCGGTGTGCCGGCATGAAATACTGTCCCGCTCTGCTGAGCACGCCAAGCTTTTAAAACATTTGGCCTTCTCTTCCAAGTGACCACGAAACTGCACATCACTCGATATGTCGACGCCGAGGATTCCGATACTGGCTGAGGCAACAGGGGGGGTGCCTTGAAACTGAGGAGATACGTCAAAGGGGTTCTTTTTATCGGTTAACGCGCAAGCTTGTGTCTTCTGGGGGTTAAACTGGACTAGATTTAGTCGCCCCCAATCCGAGACCTGTTCAGCAAAGACACGACTTCAGACACAAGTTTGTCCCGGTACTGGGAGACGTTTTCCCGAGAAATTTTGGCTCGGCCGGTGTAAAGAGCATCACCAGTGCTGTCATCTGCATAGCAATGAATGTTACGGGTTTGCAACATATCATTGATATGCAGAAGACACAGCGTTGGCGATAGCACGCAGCTTTGTGGAACACCGGCATTAATAGGCTTGTAATCGGAGCTTGCACTGTTTACAACGACCTTGATGCTCCGATCTGCAAGAAAGCTGGTGATCCAATCGCACAATTTCTCGGGAAGCCCATAGGAAGGGAGCTTCGAAAGAAGCGCTTTGTGCCAAACCCGAACGAAGGCCCAGGCTTGGTAGCACTCCTGCTTATAGCATGATGCTATTTTACAGGAGCGACCAAACCATGCCTGAGATTTGCCTCCAATGGGCACCACAGAGGAAGAAATAAAAAGTTCCATACCCTGAAGTACTACATCAGCGACAGAATCCGCAACAACGTTGGGATCGTCCGGCGAGAAGCAAACCCGCCCCCAAGGGTGGGATGCATAGAAAGACCGCATCCCATTCCAATCGGCTGACCTATAGTGCTAAACACGGCGGCAGCTTGCAGAATGCAACTGCGATTTCAGCGTGAGTGGCACCACACACCGGACAAGACAATGGTCCGAGGAGCCTAAAGGGGCGTCGACGGAAATCTGATATCCATCCGGGTGAGAGGTCAGCAGAAGGTTCAACATGGAAGGTGCATGATCCTCCACACCTGGAATCCGCGTAGGCGAAGTAACCAGTTGTGTCAGACCATATGCCAAGGCAAAATCATGAACAGATCTCCCCGCATGATAGGTTAAACGGGAACTAAGCCAATCGGCGTGATGGGCGTTAAAGTCGCCGAGGATCACGATCTCTGCGGAGGGGATCTGCTGTAGCAACGAATCTGTAGCCATTTGGACGTGGTCGAACAGTCAGTCTGTTTCGGCATTACCGCTATGGGACCTATAGGCCATAGAATAGGCACCCTTAAACGCGCGGATGGTCGTCGCTGTCTACGCGTAGCCAAATGGACTCAAGACTGCCGAGGCGTCGTGAACAGATGTCCTCTCTGACGTAAACGCAAACCGCCCGAGCCACAAAGGAGTGTTCCGGTTTGTACCCCGAGTAGGAGAGATACGAGACATCAGCCGGAGAGCCTCGCCGTCTCGAGATGGTAGTGGACGGCGTTTAGGTTACAGTGAAGTTCCCTGATATTGCAGAAATTCACGGATATCATGGCAGGGGTCGCCATGGTCTTATTGCTTCGTTTGCCCCGAGCAGTTGTAGTCTTGAGCGGAATTTTGCCCCCCCCAGAATACGCGGGGCAGCCTGAGCACCCACGCTCAGGAGTGGAGTAACTTGGTCGTGGATGCTCAGCGAGGGATTCTCCAGGGGTGCTGGTACCCTCCTGGGGTAGTCTTAAATTTAATTCTGCTACTATGTTGATGACGAAGCGGGGTGCGGGGGGGAATTTTGCCTCCGACCACCTGCACTCACCAGACGAAACGCGGAAGTGGGTGCTGTGGCCCATACACATCTACATTTATCCTCGATATAGAATCAAAATAAAGATACATTGTCACCCCTAAATGGACTGCCTCCTTTACAGTAAAATATTCTTCCTTTCTCTACACTCAACTTACAAAATGAAGAACATTAAGCTGCTATTTTACGCTGGAATTCTGTCGAGCCGACCCATTTGTATAAGTAGCGGCAGCATGGCTCTACCATGAATAAAAATTATATGTTATATATCTATTTGTACTTCAAATATGTATTGTTATGATGAATATTTACTTTCTTTTTTAATTTTTCTCATTTACAATAATGTTCTTTTTATTTTTAGGATCACCGGAAGATAATACCATGAGGCAATATATTCGCCCTTTGTAAAGTAAAAATACAGCCTATATACACGTCACACTGCTGAGCACAGGCCTCCCCTCATTTCTGAGAGGGATTTAGGGCAAGGAAGTGTCCGCCGCGCTGCCCCAATGCGTGTTGGCGAACTTCAAATGTCTACGAAATATATTTTTATCTTATTTTTCAGACATGCCGGTTTCCTCACGATGTTTTCCTTCACCGCCGAGCACGTGGTAAATCAGCACTTAAAATTGCAATTAACAATTTCATAGGTGCCGGCGGGGATCGAACCCGGGTTACTCGCGTTCTGTTATATTTACAGTGAGCGTTACCCATCTGAGCTACCACGGCTCGGCTACATCGGCTGTAATCCTTTATAATAAATAATTATTATAATATTATTTTCTACAATTTCAGATCTATCAGTAGAGGCAAACATTTCACATCCAAGTATTTCTGCGATTGGCAATGTACTGTCTCCATGTGCCTCAGTCATTAAAAAAATGTTCTTCAGAAAAATGGTAAAATAATTTCAACTTTTATTATTTTTTAAAGAAAATTGTTTTTAAATTGTACTATAAAACTTTAGCTAGTTAGCCTAATCTTATAACTAAATAATGTATAAATCATGCCCGCATGGAATAATGGCAAGAATGCTGGCTGCAATTCTGTGCGGAACAGCCAGGCAAATTCTTTGGGCAAAAAATGGGCCAGCCCTTCTGCTCGTCAGATTATGCTATTAACCGCGGTAAAATGGCCCGTTAGATTTTTTTGCACTTATTACTCGATGGCCCAATCAGTTAACGATTTAGAATAAAACGCGATTCTTTCTTTATTTTGCATATAAAAATAGCCAGGCAAAATCAGTCAAAAGTTATGAAGAACACAAAGCAATTATTTATGACAGAAACAGAAATTGAACTTCGTAAGAAAATTGTTGCAGGTAAAATACGAATTTGTAAATATAAAACTTAAGCAATGAGGCAGTCAGAGGAATTAAGAGCCGCTAGAAAATTTGTAACAAATCTTAAAATTTTGAATGTGATTGAAAATTGTACAACTACAACCAAAATTCTAATGAAAATACAATGACGTGATAATAGCAAGAAATTTAAAGACTGGCGTTTCACATTACAAGAAAAGTTAATTGCTTATCATCATTGAAACGAAGCCCTAAGGGATACAGATTCCAAAGACTTTTTTTTATTTGACCTGCTCCACAAATGTCAAAGTATTGGATAAAACAAACCATCATCCTGGCATCAATCAATCATCAAAACCTACAAAGCGAGGAAAAATATCGTACCAGGATTTATGGATGACGGTCAACACATGAGGAATAATCTCTAAAAAAAATTTGAAATATGAGCAAAAGTGGCGAAATGGGAGCATCTGCAAGAACTGCATAACTCCCATTTTCGAAGGTATAAGAATGGTGACGAAACTGACTGAGAACATAATAAACCCAGAGAAAATTAACACAATGTAAGTGAAGCGTGCGGCTCAAGTTGTTTAGCAGAACAGTAGCAACTAGCATGGGACGCTTCGCAAGTAAAAATAACTCTATTTCATTCATCAGTTTTGTCTTAAGAGGACACTCGAAAATGGCTAAGTATATTATTTTTTTACATAGTATAGGGGTGACAAACAAGTACACCATCCACTCAATGGTAAGCAGATGCTGTGGCTTATAAACATCCACATTTATCCTCCGATTAGGACTCAAAATGTAGATGCGTTATCACCCCTCAGGACTAAGATGGAATGCCTCGTTTCCAACAAAAACGGTCTCCGGTTCTCTACACTTACCATACGAAACTCAGCAGTATTAAGCTGGTATTTTACACTGGTATTCTGTAAGAGCGTGGTCCCTCCCCGGTTAAGCCGACACATTCATGCTACGAGGACAATATAGCTGTAGCATTGCTCGACCATGTTTAATTTCACTTTCACTTCAATCCATGCAGTATTACCAGTTATGCCTGCTATTTTTTTCACGTTTCTGAATTTTAGCGATAAGGTTGTAACTTTTTTAGCACTGGCTTGCAGTGAAATAAGGAGCGCCCATAGTTTCTTATCATTTATTTAGCTTTTAAAATGTATTTTATTTAAAATTAAGTGTAACTTATTCACTTTGAAGTGTATAAAGGGTATCAGAGCAAAAAAACGTTGCTGGGTCCTGTGTCATAATCTTCATTTCTTACAAAAACTACGAGTGGATTAGTACACTTTGACTCTCATTATCTTACTCATTTTCAAAGATATTTGAAAATTAACAGTTTTTCTCGTAATTTTTTTTTGAGATTCCGATATCTCTAACATAGTTTGTCAGCCAGGTCAGGAAAGATTGAAACATCACAAATTTATTAATACAAATTTTAGGAATACTATAATTTGAGGAATACAATATCACGTCCAAACAGATGCGGCACCTAAACCAAGATCCCTTAGAAAAATTTTCAGCGCAATTCGCAGTTATAGGTGCCGCAATAACGAATCCGACTTGCGAGCAATTTGAAAACTCTAGCTACCCTTTTTGTTAATAATTTGAACAGTGGTCACATTCAGGCAAAAATTGTGAAAGGGACTTCTGTGATGCATTACACTCTTGTATAGTGAATCTATGTCGACCGGAACCTATGACTTCTCGGAATACATAAATATGACATTGGCTCACCATGGAGGAATTAAAAGAAGATCCAACCATTATTGCACCCTTTGAATATATTAATGGTTATTTTTTAAAAAGTGAAATCTTCAAGAGGTGCAATATATGCTAAGTATACTAGTACTTCAGAACGTGAGAGCGAATTTATTAACCCTTTAAGCGCGTGGCTTGGGCTTGGCTACATGCCCTTAGCACGTCGCTACAAAACGATAAAATAATACCTACAATAAATAAGGAGGAGCAATCGTTGTATCGATTAAAAACTAGCCTAAGTTTTTTATTTTATTTTTTTTATTTTAAATCAGTCTTAAATCAAAATTATATCGCAATAATCTCTTATAAATCGACTAGTTATTTTCCTTTTTCTTATACATCAACCTAGAATAAATTTTTGAATCACAATTGTTTTATTTGTTTTTTTGCTAATCAGTTACTAATTCTTAAATCACATTAGAGTAGAACGCCGATTATCTGAATTAATTAGGACCGGGATCGATTCGGATAATCGAAAATTCGGATAATCGGACATACTGGTAATAAAAAAACGAACTGTCACACACAAAACATGTAGTGTCTTGCTTCTAGCTTTCAACCATAACAGTTGAAATATATCTGGACTCCAGCGAGGTCCAACTTGTTACAAGAAAACAAAACAAAAATTACATTACTTACTTACAGTACGAGCCGTGGTAGCTCAGTGGTTAACGCTCGCTGTAAATATAACAGAACGCGAGTAACCCGGGTTCGATCCCCGCCGGCACCAATGAAGTTAATTGCAATTTTAAGTGCTGATTTACCACGTGCTCGGCGGTGAAGGAAAACATCGTGAGGAAACCTGCATGTCTGAGGAATAGGAAAAAAAATATTTCGAAGACATGTGAAGTTCGTCAACACGCATTTGGGCAGCGCGGCGGACACTTCCTTGCCCTAAACCCTCTCAGAAATGAGAGGAGGCCTGAGCCCAGCAGTGGGACGTATATAGGCTGTAACTTTACTTTAGTACTTGGTTTTAATTTTTTATATTACGCTTAGGACCGATTCGGATAATTGGCGATTCGGTTAATCGGCGTTCGGATAATCGGCGTTTTACTGTAATTTACACTTTTCCTTCTAATATTCTTATTAATTCCTCAGTAGTCGTCATTATTAAAATGTGACTATTTTATCGACAATACCCACTAACAATATTAATGGAAATTTCCATTCGTTTGATCCGCTTGTGACGTAGGCAGTGGTTGTATTAATGCGACAGCCGCGCTAGACTAACTAGAGGGTGTTGCAAACATAGGTGTCTAGGGATGGGAATTAACGTCAAATGTTTTCATTATACAAAGAGCCCGTGGGATATTTTTCTTATGAATAATAAGGAAAATAATTAATAACACTAGGTACCTAATATGTTAAATAAACTTTATTTCGTATGACATTGTTTATTTTATGCTGAATGTTGCATTATATCTGATTATTTAGCTGTTTGTTATTTCGTTTTAAAAATGCGCATTGCATTGTATCCCATCCCTATGGTCATATTTATGCGACGCGCGCGATAGACACCGAAGAAAAGTCCAAGCTGTCAATTATTTATATTTGTTGCTTTTTCAATAAGTATTGAGCTACGAGACATAATTTTAAGTAATTGTTGTGAATAATATCTCTATTTAAAAATGGTTTTAGTTGTACCACGCAGTTAATAGGACAAAAATAGAACGAAAAAATCATGCTCGTTCTCTGTCGCAGAAATACGACACGAGCGGTAGGGACACGGAAATATGTGTCGCATAAATGCGACACAAGCGGTCAAAAGATTTCCGAGAGTATGCTGGTCGAAGTTCGCTTTGCAATCCCAGCAGTAATTTAAATCAGTTATTGAAGGATCTGAAATATAATACATGAATTTATCAAAAAAAATATTGATAAGAGAATCTCTTAAGAATTCAAAAAACAGTTATATTTGCTATAGTAGATTTTGAATCGTTCGTTTTTTTATAAAGTAAAGTAAAGCTACATCCTATATACGTCCCACTGCTGAGCACAGGCCTCCCCTCATTTTTGAGAGGGTTTTAGGGCAAGGAAGTCAGCCACGCTGCCCCAATACGTGTTAGCGAGCTTCACATGTCTTCGAAATATTTTTTTCTTATTCCTCAGACATGCAGGTTTCCTCACGATGTTTTCCTTCACCGCCGAGCACGTGGTAAATCAGCACTTAAAATCGTTCGTGGTAAATCGTTATTTTTATATAAAAAATAATTTAAATAAATTTTTTAACTAATAGTACAGAAAGAAATGTGGCATCGCTGTCGTCGCGCTACGAGCGAAACCCACCGAAGCCTAAATCGCGATATCAAAGTTAAGAAGCTACACCGCGCTATATATAGAACAGCTCCGAATTAACACGTGAAGCTTTAGCCGCTGAACACCTTGCCCGGAGGGATATCTCCCCATTTCCTTCTATGGCCAAAGAATCATTAACAAAATAACATTTCGAGAATAAATTAACTTCTCCGCTATGAAATCTGTCAAATATTACACCTCATTTTTAAGTGGTGCCGCCTTGGTTGTGGTCACATTTAAAAAAAATTGTTTCGTGATAATTGTAATTTTTGGTATGAAATTGTTCCTCTTGGTTTGAAATTTATAAAAAATTATTGAGTATGGTGCCAATAAATATAGGGATTATATTTATTCTCTTTGTTAGTGAATATTTTTTCTTCGGTAGTACGCATAAGTGCATAAACTTAGGATATAGTGGCGTACCATTAGGTGATTTAAGCGTCTTATACACGGTCTACCTTGCTGTACGTCCCGCCCATGTGTCACGACGGAAAACGAGTAGGTTTGACGCCAATGCCGGATTAACCACGTAGCAAGAGTAGCAATTGTTACGGGCCCCGCGCAAAAGGGGGCCTCGCGTATCTAATACAAGGTTCATCACCGCAAAAGTGTAATTTTTTGAGTGAAACTTATTGAGACGTGGTATATTGAATTTACTTGGTGTCACAAAAACGTGAAACGTTACACCTTTTTCGACTAAGACAATCCACGTCAGACACTCGGTAACCGATTATTTCCTTGGCGAAAATAAAACATAATTTTAAACAGTAAAATCGGCTTGACTCACTGGCACATTCGAAGAGATGTTTGTTGCATCTCTGAGAGTGCTCAGAGGAATTGTTCGGACTAATTCCAGCCGCACAGTTTCACCATCGCACATCGCGACGAAACTCGCGATACTATTCCATACCACCTGGATAACTGGCGGTCCACCACTAAGCGATTTAAAAGAAGTTTTCTTTATCGCACAACTTCCTTGTGAA